TTCCACACTGCTCGGCCTGTGTTTTCCTTCAACCAACTGGCGCGACGAAAATGCCTGGACCCCAAATATGAATTTGACAGCTTAGGGCCTCTGGCGAGTTGTTAGGCCCGCCTTTACTTAGGGCGGGCACATTTGCTGCAGGGGGGCCCTTAGGCCTGCCGAGGACCCATATCCTCACAGAAAGGACACGGGGCCTGTAGGGCCTTGTCTTTTCCGTCTGGTCGGGCCTTGCAGGCCTGTGTGGCTGCGCAGTATGCCACAGCTGGGCAGCGAGCATTCATCCTCGACCATCTTCACATCAGCCCATGCGGTCTCTCCCCAGTGCATCTCTAGGATCAAGTCGAAAGGTAGGCTATCCTCCACTAGGAGAGTCAGGGAGTGCAGAACTTTCTCTACCTTGTTCTCTCCCCCTCCAACCGGAAGTATGCCTTTACCCCTTCGACATACTCTTCTACTCTCATTTCACGATTGTCTGCCAGCCTGCTCACGACGGGCTCGTCCAATTTCATAACCTTGATGCCGAGGTGCATCTTCCGCAATCCCCTTCAGCTAATGTAGCTACGCGTAGATCCACTATCAACTAAGGGACCTATGGGACCCATGGGGGCTCACTGGCGGAAGCATAGTATTCTGAGTACTCCAACTTCGGTGATTTATATTTCTCATGTCCATCGGTGATAAATCAGAGAAACCCCCGGCGACATAGGGTAGGTTCCGCCCTATCAGCAGACAAAGGAAAACAAGGATGTTTTCACTGTTTTGGCCTTCAAAAACATATCTCTGCCAGACTGAATGCATTGCAAGGAACCCGACTGTTCATCACTTGCTGGAGTGCCTCAGATCACATGCATAAACACAGATTTCACAGATTGCAATATCTCACTCATAGCTCAATGGAAAACGAATGAGAACCAGGAAGCTCAACTCAAAACATCGTAACGGAATTAGGAGAGGAAAACATGAGTCCAAAAATGTATAGCGCTGAACAGAGTTACAAGTACTCTTCAATCAATTACGAGTTTCAAGCCTGGCACTCGTCAGCGCCAACTGCCAATCATCATCAACAGCGCTCAACAGGTAAGTGTCACCATAGCTCACTCCTCCCCCTCTTTTGTCTGCTTTTTTCTCTCTATCCCTCTATGTCTTTAGTACTGGTTTACTCACACCCATCATGCACGCACACTGCCTATCACACGAGGATCTACTCTGAATACTACTCACTGGTACTCCTACTACTAACCCTTCTATTGCTACTAACTTCTGCTGGCGCAGCTATGGCTGCTTCTCTCAGCCAGCGCCCAGCTYCCTTCTTCTTYCTTAGYGCAGCTCTCTAGCCTGCGCAGTTCACTAGCATTCTGGCGCACAAGTGCCTCAGCACTTCCACACTCTCATGCCCATGAGAATCTGCCGAATGGGAGGCTGGTGAGGTCCTTTATACAATTGGACTGACTGAACGAGGTCTGCGTCCAGCCGCCCTTCACTTGGGACTCTTACCCAGTTCCTGCTGCTGCAAAATGTGTGTCCCAGTACCCTTTCCCATGGTCTGCTGCTGCTGTGGCCGTCGGGCCTGTCTTTTGGACTCCTGGACTGAATCAGACGTGACCCTGGAAACTGTGACTGGCCTGGGACTGTGACCTTTGACTTAGTATTGAACAGACATGACTTTATCTTTAGCACTAAAACAAAATACAGTGCCTGTTCGTCCAGGACCTGACTGTGACTTTCCACACGACTTTTCATTTGGACGCGACCTTTTGCCTCAGAGTACTTGTCTTTTGGAATGCTACATGTGAAATTAAGGTTTGGCCGTCGGGCCCCACTATGCTGGGGTACCCATTTGGGGTCTGAATCGTAAAGGCTCTTTTAGCATATGCCAATCAGAGTCGCTGGTAGGCCAGGCGTTTCAGGCTGGGCAGGCCGGGTTTGGTAGTTTTTCTAGGTTTGACAATACGAGGTCTACAGTGCACGGATGCTTTGAAGGAAAAAAGCCAGGCAATTGAACTGATGAAGGCAGCAGCCACTGAAGCATGAGCTGCCTTATACAATAATGATCTGAAAGAGCTTTCAAGTCATAAGCAGTGAATCCAGAATGTCAGTGGGCAAACTCTCTGATAACGGAATCGTGCCAACTGTTCTGATGATTGAGGGCGCAATGCCTCTTCCCTTAGTGTTTGGCTTCTTCTCTCTCCTTGGGGACCAGACTTTACCACCTCCTCTTCATAGGTTGTGCACCTGTCTTTTCTATGCCTGAAGTCTCGTGTTCCTGCTCTTCTTCTGGGCCAATCTTCTATCACTGCTCTGCTTTTCTTTCTGAAGCTGGTTGACTCAACTTTTTGTCTTGCGCCCACTGGCTAATCTTCTATCCCGTTGTCTGTGGCTTGCCTTCGTTCTGTAAGTCAATAGCATCCCTATGATCTGCCCCCCTTTCTTTACTTCATGTTGCCTGTATGCTATGACGTTGTTGCGATGGGCAGTCGTTTTGCATCTGGAAAAAACCTTGGCACGTTCTTATTGTTGCCTGCCTGCCTCCTGTTTTTGTCCCAAACGCACATGTTCTTTTGTGTTACTCCATTTCTTTGTGCTATAGCCTCGAGCACACGTTGATATACGCTTCTGTTCTTTCAGGTGACCTTGGGAGCAGTGCACAGTGCATTCTCTTTTCCCTGAGGAAAAGTAAAAACAGTGGCCATGTTGGCTCAAGCAGGAGGTGGCAGTATGGATCTCAGGAAGATGACGGTGCCCGAGCTACGCGCAGAGTTGGAAAGGCGTGGGCTTGAGACCTCTGGACTCAAAAATGCACTGGTGCACCGCCTTGAAGCGGCGATTGGCAAAGACAGAAAAGGGGCACCATCGGCCACTCCCGCAAAAGTGGTAAAGACAGGGTCAGGAACAGCAGGGAAGGC